GGTTTACTCTATGGAGAAAAAAAATATTTTTGAAGAAAAATGATATCAGGGGAATGTAAAATACATTTGTCCATCAAATGACTTTGTTTACTTTACTTTGTTCATACTCCCCCCTCCACTCTCTCTCTCTCTTTCTCTCTCCTCTCTCTTCTCTCTCTTCTCTCTCTCTCTCCTCTCTCCCACTCTACCTCTCTGCTTCCCCCCCTTTCTCTCTCTCCTCTCTCTCCTCACCTCCTTCTCCTTCTTTCCCTCGTCTCCACTCTAGCTTCCCCCCTCTCTCTCTCTCTCTCGTCTCTCTCTTCTGCTCTCGTCTGTCTCTCTCCTCTGCACTACGTAAATGTCTCGGTCTACTGGTTCTCAAGTGGATCCTGCTCTCTCTCCTCTCTCTCTCTGCTCTCTCTCTCTCCTGCATCCCACCCCGCTATTCCCTTCTCTTCTCTCTCTCTCTCTCTCTCTCCCTCTCAGCCATTCCTCATCTCCTGCTCACATTCTGCTCCTCCTGCACATTCTTAGCTAGTCGCCTCTCACATTTCTCGTCCTTCTCTCCTCACTCGCCACTGCACATTCTCTCTCTCTCTCCTCTCTCTTCTCAGCGGGTTCGTCTCTCGTCATCTGCGGATGCTCTCTCTTCTCTGTTGCATCATCTCTCAATCTCCCTTCTCTCTCTCTCTGCTCTCTTTCTCATCCTGCCCCGCCTTTATCTTCTCTCGTCCCTCTGCTCCCTCTCTCCCTCCTCCCACCTCTCGCACTCTAGGCCTTCCCTCCTCCCCCGCTCTGTCCTCCGTGATTGTCCTCTCTCTCTCTCTGCTCTCTCTCGGTGTCTCTCTCGCTATCCTCTCTCATCTCTCCTCTCGAGGTCGATCTCTCTCTCTCTCTCCTCTTCCTCCTCGTCGTCTCTCTCGTCTCTCCCTCTCTTCACCATACATCTCTCTCTCTCTTCTCTCATCTCTCTCGTCTCTCTTCTCCCCTCTCTTCTCTCATCTCCCGCTCTCTCTTCTCTTCCTCGTCTCTCTCTCTCTCGACCCTGCTGCGTCAGTCTTCTCTCCTCACTCTTTCCTCTCTTCTCTTCTTTCCCCCTCTACGTCCCCCCCCTCTTCTCCTCTGTATGCTCTCTCTGCTCCTCATCTCGTCTCTTCTCTCCACACAGCCACACTTTCATTCTCTCGATCCCTTCTCACAATTCTCATGTGCCCTCTCAGTATCCTTCCCCTGTCCTGGCAATGTGCGCGTAGTTCACAGAATAATGAGTGTGTCCCCATTATTCCTCATCTCTCTCTCTCCCCCCCCCTCCCTCTAAATCTCTTCTCCTCTTCTCTCTCCCACTCATCTCCTCTTCCCTCTCTTCTCTCTCTCATCTCTATCTCGTCCCCCTCTCTCCTGCTCCGCGCCTCTCCTCACTCTCGGATGCATCTCTCTGCTCGCTCACCCCCCCTCTCTCTTTCCGCAGTTGGTTAGCGTCCTCAAGTCTGGCCATTTTGCAGACCTGCGGTCCAATCACCTTCTTGCGAGCCCCCCCAGGTGGATGGCAACCTTCCCGGCATTCTTGCACACGAGAGGGAGAGGGTAGAAGCAAAATAACAGAGACAGTACGCGATGGCTGCCACAGATAAGGATAATACCATTGTAAACAATGGCAAATTAAAACTTTTAATACTGTTACTCTCTCTCGCTCTCTGAGGCGTTTCTCGGCGTAGTCTCATCAGTCTCTCTTGCACGTTAGTCTCTCTCTCTCTCTCTCTGCTCTCTCTCTCTCTCGTCTTCTCTGCTGCTCTCGTCTCTCGTCTCGGTCTTCTCTCTCAGTTCACTTAGTCTCTCTTTCTCTCTCTCGCTCTTCTTCTCTTTCGTTTATGCTCTGCTCTCTCATCTTCTTCTTCTTGCTTTGTTTGGTGTGTATTGTGTTTGCCGTGTTTGTTGCAATGTACGGAATATGCTGTGTGTATGTGTGTGTGTGTGTGCATGGTCTTGCTTGCTGTGGCGGCGTTTATGTATATGTGTGTGTTGTGTGAGTGTGTGTGCATGTCTTTATCTACTATGACCGTGACCGTATGTGTCTGTGTGTGTGTCGTGTGTGTGCATGTCCTTTATCTATGACGGCGTATGTGTATGTGCGTGTGGGTGTTAATGGTGTGCATCAGTCTTTATCTATGGCGCGTGATGTGTGCGAATATCAACGAGTACACCTCACTAAAGAAACAATTATTTGTCCAAGCAGTGTGTATGGACGAGGACGGAGAATACTGGGGGATACAGTGCAAATGCCCCGCCAGCACGTCTACAAAACATTCCCCTTTGAATCATCACCGGAGGCCCAAGGTGCCAAAACACGCGTACGCGTGCCGCGCTAATCTGGAGCGATTGGCGTGAGGAGAGGAGACATGGAAATGGGAAGATTTCTACTGGCCATGGGGTAATCATTAATGCATTATGTTATTTTATTATTTTTTGATTTTCATCATCATTAGTGTAGCGTTATTCTCATGATCATATTACTCGTCCATCA